ATTTGGCGTTGACGGTCGCCGAGCACCAGATCTGGATGAGCAAGTCCTTGATGTCCCAAAGCTTGAATCTTGTTAAGTTCTGAGTCTCCAATCCAGCAGGGCTTCGCCTCTCCAAAATTTCCAACCCCTCAAATGAACCAAGGCCTAGCCTATTTATAGGCACTCAGATCTGTGCCTAGGCACAGATCTGGGCCGGCCACCTCAGGGTGGCTCGGCTCTGGGCCGAGCCACCTTGAGGTGGCTCGGCCAGAGACTCTGATTGGTTGATCTGATTTGGCAGTAAGTTGGATTCCTGATTTGGCAGTAAATCCGCTTCTGAGTTCGAGTCCGAAATTGATCTTGATTCGATCGTGATTCGTCCGAGTTTGTCCTTGGTTGGATCACTCGTTGACTCTTTAACACTTGGCTTGATTCCGAACGCGTATGGATGCATTCTGTCGCTTCTGTGCGATTCGTCGATCTCGTCGCCTCGTTGGTTCGTCGGTTTGTGCCGAGCTATGCTAGGGGACCTATAAGCAATTTTATATGCCTACAGATACCCCCTCCAAAGTATTTCAGTCTCGTTCTTTTATAGAAGAGTCTGGGATACTTTGGATATGATTGTCCCTACCTTCAGTCGGTATAACGGGACCTCGGAATGGCTTCTGTTCTTGACTCCTTCAATTCTCCAGGCTTTTCGGTGCTTTGTCGAAAGTCTGTAAGAGTTCCGGTGCTGCATTTATTGTCTGACCGTTTGTCGGAATTTTCTGAACTTGAAGTCGATTCCTTTGAGCTGACCATTGATTGTGGCGTCGAGTCTTTATGCGCGTTGTCCGGCGTTGTGTTGTTGAGTTATCCTTAAGAATATTTATAAACAATATTCTCCAGGAACTTCTCAAACCAAAAATAAGGAATAGTTTATACTCATATACCTTATTGGAGTATTAAGAAGCAGTTTTACTCATATACCTTATTGGAGTATTAAGAAACAGTTTATACTCGTATACTTTTCGGAGTGTTAAGAAGCAGTTTATACTCGTGTACTTTTCGGAGTGGTGATTCTTTCGTTGCAACGCATTGATTGGCGTTGACCCAGGGTTACGCGTTGACCGGCGTTAACCCTAGGGTTTCGAATTTTTTGCTCGTAACGCGTTGACTGGCGTTGACCTAAGGTTACGCGATGTCCGGCGTTGACCCTGGGGTTTTGACCGTCATACGTTGACCTTTTGATCGCAACGCGTTGACTGGCG